CTACCCGTTCTGTAGCTACGGTGCATCCGTAAGGGGGAAAATGATATTCTCTCGATGTTTCTCGTAAAAAATTGGACGACGCGTCCCATCAATAAAAATTTGACAAGTTTGCAAGTAGCCATCAAGTGGACGGAGTGTTATGCGGTGACTCGTCAAGTCCACGTAGACTCTCTGCCATATAGGTAGCGATTTATAAAATATATTGCTGTATATTTAAATGTTTTTGTCCGCATTCCTATCATAGACACAGATCCAGTAGATCATTGGGCTTGTCTAGACAACTTACGTTTATTTTTTTCAGTGCCTTCCTGACACCGAGGAATTTCTAGTGATACACTGAAAAAAAGGATCTCTCAGTCGAAATGAATATGACTTTGACCCAAAAGATTGGGGCTTTTCAATAGGGCCAAGAACGACGTTTCTTTACCCAAACCATTAACTATCTTTTCATAAGCTTTAAAAAATTACTTTAGAGAATAGAAGAATCTATCTGTCCAAAGTATTTCACTCTTGACCCAAAATGAATATGCAAAGAAGTTTTTGCTACAAGAACAATAGTCTCTATGATTCATGCAAAAATTTTTGATTGAAAAGGGACATTTCTTGATTAAAGAGACACTTTTCTTAAACCAATAGCGAATACTATTGACTCAACTAAAATTTATTTTGATCTAAGAGAAGAATACATCATATACAGGCATATTACGAGGTATATTATTTTCTGATAAATTTAGGTTTTCCTGGTCTGTAGTAAGTAAAGTGATATTATTTTCCTCGATAGTAGTTATTTCTGCTTCTTCACTCCTTGGTATTTTTTGGGGTGGTTCATCACTCTACAAATTACAAAAAAAATGTTACATCACGATTAATCAAAGTAAAGCAAATAAATTATTAAAATTATAAGCTTTGGTCACATTTTGAATTTTTTAATACGACGACTTGAAATTCTAAAATTTTTGTAATTAATTGCATAAAAAAATCGATACCTATATTCTTATTCTATCTATAGTCACGCATGCATTATCTAAACAGGTGCATTAGGTAAATGTCTCTTACCTTCAAATATAGCAAATAAATGATCTAGTTTCCATTTTTTCAGAAACTCCTTTAAAGAATCCATATATCCTAAAATGTGTCCATAAAAAATGACAAATGCATGTTAATAACGATCACTAATTAATTTGTTATACGATATGCGTTTAAAAAGCAAATTATGCAAAATTCCAAGTGGAAAATTCCAAGCAACAAAACCTGTACGTGCGACCTATGAAATGCGATACGACTGATCGGACTGCCGACTGATTGTATATATCGTCCTTTGTCATCGTCTTTGCGTGTCGTTATTATTTTTCATCAAAAGAGTATTTAGCTATTGGAAAAATGGCCATGTTTCTTGAATGAAGTACTTTCTAGCGTATTTTTCTTATTATCTTAAAACAAAGTAACTTGCACTTGGTTGAATGAAAATAGATTCAAGAGAAATTTTCGAATTTTTCAAGAGAACCAGTTTTCTTGAGTTAAGAGAGTTTTTCTTCAGGCAAAATATTTTCTTTTACGCTAAAATAAATTCTCTTGCCACTATTTTTTTTTCAAGAACGATGACGACTTTAGTTCAAGTCTATCTTTTTTATCAGTGTACTGCAAGATGTCATATAGGTATATATTGTGTACAAGAAACTTTGGTGACATCGCAGATGTTAAATGCAGGGTCTATTAACAACTTTTTACCTTTTGATGAAACACTTGTGTTGTCATAGGTTTGGAAATCATGGTCGAGAACGATAGCTGCGGAATCTACAAACTACCCTTTTCCATCCATGAAAAAGCTCCAACATAACAAGCTTGATATTTTCTGCCAAATAAACAGGCCACATGTTTATCAATGAGATTTCTGATTCAGCAGGAACCAACATAGTGGGGAGGGAACAAGACCAGGAAATGAAGTAAATTGTGCTGATTGATAAGTCTATTATAATTAGGATGATTGTTTCTATTGTCGACTTTCTAAGAGAGATGAGTGATGTAAAGTACTGCTTAGAGTCAGGAAAATTTTTGACAGACCACAAAATGATAGTAAAGTAAAAAGAGAGACACATCTGTCAGTTCCTCGCGTTGAACAATTTTCTGTTAACTAAAAAAAATAATCTTGTGTCGAGGTTCTAAATGAAGTATAGTCTAGTTACAGTAGCTATATGAGTATGGAAACAACAATGATATTTTTGACGATATCCCGAAACATCCTTCAGACTATGGAGTCTTTTCAAAAATCTAAGCAACACTTGCAGGTTATGTGAAAGAAAGGCGAGACAGTTCAAATGTGATATGGCTACATGTTGTTGTCGTCAATTAGAAGTTCATTTAGGTAGATGGCGACTTCAAAATCACTCCGGGGTAGGAAATCTAAGGGGTCCATTGTTTATAGAAGTTGCATTATTTTGGGCTAACCTCTGAATGTACAAACCGTTAGTATTTCTTCCTCTCAACTCATTTATGATTTATATCAGTTATAATGTTTTTAATCCACGTCAATATAAATGGAAAATAAATAATTTCAAAACGGTTCTCACCGCTAGTTGTTTATCGAGTCCAATCATAACCGTCTAATCGAAGCTGATCGAAGATATCGATCTTAATCATTGGAAATGAAGAGAACGGGCGAAACAATCGGAAATATTTCCGCGATTTTTTGCGAGGCGGCCGGCAAGGTTGCGCGTCGTCGTCGAAAATGGCAAGCAGAAAATCTCGAATCCCCGTAGGCCGTTGACTTACGTATCGATTGTGTTGGGCATTTTTTACGTTGGGATCGTCGTTCGACGGCCAGAGTTGCCGTGAGCCGTGAATGCCCCTTTGTTGGATTTCGCGGGCGCTTCGGCATAAAGATAAGTGCAAGTCACTGGGCAAACAGCGGGATGATGCATCGACGGAGGTTGCGTCGCCTTCGAATTATCGCTTATCGCTCTGGAGGAAGTGGACAAATATAGATGTTGCGTAAAGCTTTTAGATTTATCTCCCTCTTAATTAATTCGCTTGACAGTCGAGGCAAATTCTCCAAAACAATATACAGTATGTCCCCGGATTGTCTTTACAAGAGGAAACATTTTTTTATTCCTAACATTTTAAGAAAATTCATGCAAAGTTTTGCTTGATCTAAAATGACTAATCTCGTTTTCTTTATATATATATTTTTTTATACTTATAGTCGAATTTTTTTATGCCCTAAAATTCAAAATCTTAAGGCGGACTCTGACGACTCGTGTGCTTGATAAATATTTGTTATTGGCATATACTTGCCATCTCATGTGAGCAGTTTACTTGTGCAATTATTTGTCACTCGTGGCGCCGCGTAAGCGCCAAGCTTGTTGCAAAAAAAAATGTTGTTTACGAAGATAGTATACTTACCAAGTACGCAAATATTGGGGTCTAAATGTCTGCGAGCCTAAATGATCGTAGAAATTCCTACTTGCACCTCTACGTGGTGGACCCCGGAAACCTGCCGCGGAGCCGGTAACCGCGGATCGGGTAACCAACCCCGGTGGAGGGTAACGTGAAAGGGCTAACGCAAGAGGGAGAATGAGAGGGTTTAATCCAAGGTGTTATGCATACCGTGCCGAGGGATGAATGGTACCTGTTCCCGACACAGGTGTCAAAAACGGTGCCTCTGGGATATCTGGCAAACTCCCGGAGTAGACAAGCCTTAGTGTGGTAAGGGCGCACTGCCGCACCGGACCGGGGAACTTCGTCACAACTCGTGGGAATCACATGGAAGATACAAACAGAAAACAAATTGGGGAAAGGGAAGGGGAAAATACTAATGCTACACAGACTAGATTAAACATACTGGAACGAATGATACGATGCAACTCAGTAAGCGGTGATGGAGGTAAAAAACGGAGGATACTAGACACATCTTTTGGAAAAAGCTCAATGCCAGATCTTTATAAAGTAAAGGAGAGCGCGGAGGCATTCGTTATCAGGAGAACGATAGAGACAATTATAGAGATATCTAAAGATCTTGAGAATAAAATTGAACATATTAATAAAAAAGAGATTAAAGAAATATCAAAAAAACTAAAAAGACAGGCAGAAGTATTAGGAAGGACATCGATTAAGGAATGGATGGAGGCTCATAGATATGACCAGGTAGAAAAGATGACAATGGATGCGGATACACAAACTATTGACTGGAACGATAAAGATGTTAGGATTGAGCAAATAAAAACAATAGAAGACTTTATATTAGCGGAAAATAAAAATTGGAAGGGTAGTTCATTTACAAACACTGAAATAAAAATTGGCAACCCTTTGGACTCGAAAGCAACGGTGGTGAAAGTAGTTTTTGTCGAACATACAGATCCAAATATGAATAGAGACATTCAACTCTTGTACAAGCGAAGATATCCTGAATTAGAAGAAGCTAAAGAACATTTCACTGTCTTAGAACAATCTACGAAAATTAGGTCAGCAACTCACAGTAACGATTCGGCCAGCCAAAAAGTAATCAAAATTATTCTGAAAGGAAGTGATCAAGATTTATGGGAAAAATTAAATGAACTCAAAAATGAAACGTTAAATGATGAATGGATAGCCGTTTACCACATCGAAGCAATTTCTATTAATCGACTGAGAAAAATGACAGTAGCCATATTTCATGGCACAAATAACACAATAGCAATATATACCAACAAAAGGACAAATAATAGGCAAACAGCAAACAAAACACCAAGAGAAAGAAAAGTTACGCACTTGTTGTAGATCAAAAGGGCACTGACCGTAGTGAACTAATAAAGACAATAAAAATCAAACTATTAAACACAGAGACAAGCAAAATAATACAAGGGATCAGAACGACTCGAAATGGACAAGTGCTAATAACGACTGACAAGGACGAAAAGGGAATCGCAATTTTAAACGAGGAAATTAAAAACCTATCAGCAGAGATAGGAACGAAAGTTACCGGAACAACCAAACCAAAAGGAGAAGTCTCCATACATCTATGTGGTATGGAAGAAACAACAAGCAGAGAAGAAATAATCCAAGCAATAACAGAAAAGGTTGGAACCCTGCAGAATACTTTTCAGCTAAGCAATTTGCGACCTAACGCAAATAACACTCAAGCTGCCACTATTATAACTGACAAGGCAACTGCTGATTCATTACTGCAAGTCCCAACATTAAGAATAGGTATAGTACGATGTAGTTTAGAGAGGAAAGCCGATATCAAAAAGTGTAAGCGTTGCTGGGCACACGACCATACCGAAGAGCACTGTAATGGACCAGATAGGAGAAAATTATGCTATAAATGTAGTGAAGAAGGTCACACAGTAAAAGAATGTCCGAATAACGAGAAATGTCCTATGTGCGAAGACAATAGACATAGAGCTGGAACTGGCAAATGCCGCAAGTTTCGTAGGGCATTGTCATATTACAGAAATAAAAACAGGACAAATCCAACCAATTTGCAATAATGGACATCACAATTCTCCAAATTAATACTAGTAGAAGTAAGCAGATACATGACTTGGCAGTGGTGGTAGCAGAAGAAAAATGTGATTTTCTCGCTATAAGCGAACCAAACATCTCATGGTGTGGAAAAAGTCAGTATACCTATGCAAACGAAGCTACTCTGCCGCTATAGTAAATCACAGTAAGAGCATACCTGTCAGAAAATATCATACCGGGGAATGTTTTGTATGTGTAGAAATAGACAATTTTGCACTATATAGCGTTTATATAAGCCCTAATAGTACCCAGGTTTTCTTTGAAACTTGTCTTCACACCTTACAAACAGATATTGCAGAAAGGATAGAAAAAAAGTCATTGTAACAGGAGATTTTAATGCTAAGTACATATATTGGGGCGGAAACAAAACAGAACAAAGAGGAAAAGAGCTACTGGACTGGGTATATTCACTGAAACTAAATATACTAAACGATGGTCTTTTGCCTACGCTAGTGAGGTCAACGGGATCGTCCTACATAGATTTAACAATGTGCTGCGACACAACCATGATGTTAACACCAACTTGAAAGATACTTGACGAAAAATCTCTCCTAGAGCACCAATTCATACTTATAAAAATACCAAAATCTAAATATAAAGAGAAAAGAACGTACAAAAAGGGAGCTCCAGATCTAGCAAAAATGGATAAGATTTTCAAGAAACGTTTAGTCAGCGGACGTAGCGACGCAACCGTCGAAAGTTGTATACTACTGGTTCAGAAAGCATTCAAAGAAAGCACTACAAGAATAATTAGATGCAACGATGATTACAGCATGCCATACTGGTGGTCAGAGGACATACATAATGAAATATTGGCAGTTAGGAAGAAAAGGCAAAAGTTTCAAAGAGAAAAAAACGAAGGAAAACGAACGTAACCGAAAGACGACCTTACAAATTGAAGAGAAGATGGCCATTTTTCGAGATCTCTTTATGCCTCCTAAAGGTATAAATCTGAATATGTATAAACAAGACCAAAAAAATGGTTACCAAAGATTTACATTAAACGAACTCTCAGTTGCTTTCGAGAAATTAAAAAGCGGAAAAGTCCCAGGCCCCGACGGAATACCACCAGAAGTTGTAAAATTTATCATCCGAAATAACTCGCAATACTTTTTGGAGGTGTTTAATAAACTTTTAAATGATAACGATTTTCCCGATATTTGGAAAAGTTCCAAATTAACTCTCATAGACAAGCCCAAAAAAATGAAGGTAGAAGAAACTAAATACCGTCCAATCTACCTGATTAACGCAACCGCCAAAGTATATGAAAATTTAATAAAGAATAGATTAATGGAAGAAATACAAAATAAAGGTGGGTTTAACCCTAACCAGTTTGGATTCATAAAAAAAGTCACAACAATAAGTGCAGTTGATCTTGTAACAAAGACCGTCAAGGACAAACCCGAAAAATGGCATGCGCTGATACTAGTAGATGTGAGAAATGCATTTAATATGGCAGCATGGCCTATAATATTGTCAAAGTTAGCAAGAAGAAACATCATCTCATATCTTATAAACATTATAATATCATATTTTACACAGCGTACTGTAAACTTGGATAAAGACCACCAAGAAGAGGTTGGGGGAGGCGTACCCCAGGGATCGGTTTTGGGTCCCACCCTTTGGAACATCCTTTACGATGACGTAATGGAAATAAGGGTGCCTCAAGGAGTCAAAGTAATCTGCTACGCAGATGATCTGGCTGTATTAACCACAGCTGAAACCTCCGAAGGAATGATACGCAAAACCGAAGAGGCTTTACACTATATATACTTGTGGATGAATCAAAACCAGTTGGAAGTTGCGCCAGAGAAAACAACTGCTATTCTTCTAAACTGAAAGACAAAGATAGGTGGTATACAATTTAAAGTCGGTGAGAAGTACGTTAAACCAACTAATACAGTAAAATACCTCGGAATAACACTAGATAGAGGGCTAACTTACAGTCAACATGTAAAAGATGCTTGCGGAAAAGCAAACAGAACTGTCAAAGCTATGTGGACTACTTCCGAACCTAAAAGGACCGTCCTCCAAAAAAAGAAAAGTTCTTGCGGTAACAATACAAAATATAATTCTATACGGCGCTCCTGTATGTGTCGAGGCACTAAAATTCCAACGGACGAAAAATATATTGCTTTCCACACAGAGAAAAATGGCTCTAAGGATCTGTTCAGCGTATCGTACGATATCAACAGATGCCGTGTTGGTTATAGCTGGGCTGGTCCCGCTGCATTTAGCAGCTGAGGAAAAGCGAGAGTTATATGTCAAAGCAGAGATTAACGATGAGGTGAAAAACCATCAACGACGAGGTACCTATCAAAAATGGCAAGAGGAGTGGGATACATCCGACAAGGGAAGGTGGACTAGAAAGTTAATACACAACGTGGAGGACTGGACAAGTAGGAAACACGGAGACGTGGACTATTACATTACGCAGTTTCTTTCCGGGCATGGAGTCTTCATGAACTTCTTGCACAGAATAAAGAAAATATCAAATGGCAACTGCATGTCCTGCGACGAAATCGACGATGCCGAGCACATGTTGTTCTGTTGTCCGAGATGGGAAAACGGAAGGTCTGCCTTATTGTCGGATGTAGGAATGTTAACTTCGGACACCTTGATTATGAAAATGACCAAAACTAGCGAAATATGGGGAAAGGTAGGGGCATTTATGAAAGAAATAATAATAGAGAAAGGAAAAGACGAAAAGGCAAGAAATGTGGAAGTATCCTAAAAAAAAATAGAATAGAATATAGATAAAAAATAACATAGATAAGATATAAACCCCAAGATCACGTACGAACCCGAAGTAATGCCATGCGGCGGCGGTGATTCCGGGTAAGGGCAGAGGAGGAGCTGACTCCTCGGAGGTGGACTTTTTTAGTGGGTAACAATTCGACTCCCACACTGCTTGGAGTTCGTCTCTATGATCGTCTCTCTCGAGATGGTGATGAGAACAACACTCGCCTATAAAAGGTTTTTTACCATCCCCTCAAAATCAAAAAAAAAAAAAAAAAGCACGCAAATATTGGCGTAAGTAACGAGTCGTCAAGGCGGACTCTCACTACTCGTGTACTTGACAAACATTTGTTGTTATTGGTATATACTTGCATGTCGTGTGAAGGGTTTACTTAAAGATAGTATACTTGCCAAGTACACGAGTCGTCAAAATCCGCCTTTGAAGTCCGCCTTTAGACGTATTTATAGACATGTCTGTTTAAAAAAACTAAGGTGTTCGTGAATAGTTGTATTTAGATATTTTAAATAGTTTTTTCTTTGTTCTTTGTGTTTTTTTGCTTCCTACGACGGGAATGACTGGTAGTAGAATTGATCGAATGCTTCCTTCCTTAGATAAAGTGGCATTCTAGAATTGAATGTCGTTGATTGAGTTTCTTCCATATTATATGTATTCCATGCTAGCTCTTCTGTTGATTTCTGATCTTAGGGATCATTAGCTATGTATTAGTTCTCCCAAATAAATACATATATTCTTCTACTATTTCCAGTGTTGTGGTATTTATTAGAATATCTTTTCTGTCCACCAGTTCGTTGTACATTGTACAAGTTTTAGCTAAAATTATTTTGAGACCTACTCTACTGCTGGCTGTATTTAGTTCGTTAATTTGTGCTTCTAGTTATTCAGGACTATTGGCAATTAGGACGAATCTTAGATGGTTATGTTATTCTCCATCTATTTTCTAATATCCATCTAATTCTTTGTTAGTCCGGTCTAATTGACGGAAGACTTCTGTTCGAATCTACAACTTTCTATTATAAGTATAATTTGTTAAAACTTGATGATTTTAGAAAATAAAACACCAAAATAAATATGTTACTCCTTTTATTATTTATAAATATCTTACCTATACTACATACTCATTTTTTACCCTTAATGAATAATATAATTAAAAAGATATAGATGAATATACTTTAAAACATTTCCTTAATTACACCTTGTAATTTATTCTGGTTCACTTATATCTTATATCACACAAAAGAACATAAATTATCATTAATAAACATGTTCAACTAAATAATATCAGGGTAATCACCTGAAGAGATATCGTTAATCTGAAGATAATACAGATTTATCTATTCTTTTATTTAGAAACGAGTTAATGAACTTTGATAAGTTGTAAGTACTAACATAGAAAAAAATACGTCGGGGTTTGTGAAATTATATATATTTTAATCTTAATCCGTTCTTTCTAAAACTTAGGGAAAAACATTTAATTTTTAATGAACTTAATTCGTTTTTCGTCGTGTTCTGCTAAAATTGTTATAGCAAACTCGTTGGTAAAAAGCAATTTGCTTAAAAGCTCGATAATCTCAAAACTCGACGTAAAATAATCAGCAAACCAAAAAGGTCCGAGCAAATAAAACTGTAGTATCCGCCAAGTAAATTTAAAATTCGACGGCCATTTCAAGTTTCCTCAGTTCCAAAAGTGGATCTTTTCCATTCATTTAATTTTACGGCGGCAATTTAACACTAAAACTTGACCAAACTGCCTTATTTTTGAAGAAAAGAGGTTCGATAGAACAAATTGTAAGTTAAAACGTTAAAATAGTATTATACTATATCAGTAAATGAGTTTTTTTATTCAAAATTACTTATTATGCCCATGATAATGAAGACAATAATTTGTAGAATCGTGATATGTTTGTTGTCAAGAGTTTATAGCAGAAGTAATTTAAATTACTGAAAAAGCTGTGTTCGGAAATTTATAATTTTACCATTAATTAATATATCTTTAAACCTCTCCGATATAACAATCCGATAGTCAAGCAGCCTTAAGAGCGATCACAGTAACCATCAAACTCGAAGTTGGTCAAAGAAGGCAAATTAGGCAAAGAAAATAATAGTCCTAATACTCTAAATGCAAGCCCACCGAGGGGTAGAAGGTAATAAAAAAGCAAACGATCTAGCTAGAATAAGAGCGAACACTCTACTAACTGGACCAGAACC